AGGTACAGCGTTTACAACCGTTGCACTCAGGATACCACCACTTGGGGACCTAGTGGCAGAGTGCAACGGTGTAAAGGGCTTTACACCGGTTAGGGACAGGAGGCAGATGTTCGCCGTCTGAACACCAGTGAGTACAACGATTGCAACCGGCACCTATACCGATGTAAAGCCCCCGTCTGAACGCACCCGTTGTTCGACATCATGTCACTTCAGGTGATAAATTCTGACACTGCACAAAGGGATGGCAACCAGCATAAAGAAGATACCAACAGTACTGAATATAGATTCTATATGTGTCTGCATAAAAATAGAAGAAAACACAGCCCTCTTTCTACACCTGTGTTTCAGTTTAAAGTATCAGTTATGTTTATGAGGAGACAGGATGTGTTAGTCACAACATAGACATCTTCCATTGTCTCACTTCAGACCCCAAATTAAGTCACTTTTTAGTATTTAGAAGAGATTAACTTACCCTGCCCTTTTTCAAGAAATACTATTTTTGATTCTGGAAGAAAGTTAGATCCAGTAACTACCATTTCATGCCCTCCATTTACGGAGCAACTGCTGATGCTGTATTTCTCTATCTGAGGAAGTTCTTGAGCCGATCTCTGAGCTTTGTGAAAAGAAGTATACAAAAATATGTCAATATTCTGGTGTTGTTATACCCATTCTGTCAAATTATGCCTAAGAAGGTAGGAAGCAAAAATATCATAAACTTGATATACAGAATATGCTTCCCTTATACATGTTTACCATCAACATGGGCTGTTAACCGCTCACACAGCTCTTCCTGAAGTAGACAGCACTTTGCATCAACACTGGTTTGCACAGCAGAGAAGCCCTGGAGCTGCCCTGTTTCAGAGCATTTTATACACGTATCTAGTGCACTACAATAATAAAGCTGGTTTGTTACCTTGCTTTTTAAACACACCACTTTACATTTCTGAAGCGTTTACTTTATCTCAAGTAAAGAGGGTCATAAACACTTGCAGCTTTTTTTGTTCTTTCAATTCATGTTCTCTGATTCTAAGTTACTACTACATGTCGAACTATTTTTAAAAACATGCAAGTTATTGAAAATTTTGTTTTACAACAAAGGGGTGGGAAAAAATAGGCACGCATAAGGTCATCATAAATAATGCAGTATGAAAAGCCATAAAATGTAACAAAGAACAAATCACCTCCATTTAGAAATAGACTTCAGTGCTAATTAAACACTGTACACTTAAATCAATTGTATCCCCTTCCGCATGGGCAACAGTAAAGTTAAAGACCACTGGAAATACAGTGTTAAATAATTCATAAATCCCTATGGCAACAAATAAACATCTTTCTATGAGTCTGCTTGTGCCATGGTATGTTTTTAATCAGTATTAGTAATAAATAATATTTCCACAAGGGTATTTTACATTTTGAAAATTCCTGGCTACCTACCCACCTTACTCCCCAATACCCAAAGGAGCTCATATCATCCTCCTCTCTTCCATTCTGTCCTCACAACAACCCTGTGAAGTATGTTAAGGCTGAGTGCACGTGACTGGCCCAAGGTCACCCAGCAAGCTTCCATGGTAGAGTGGGGATTTGAACCTAGGTCTTCCAAATACTAGTCTGACACGCTAACCGTTACACCACACTGACTCAAAATACACCACACTGACACCAAATATAAACCTCGGTCATCTAAGCTGAAGCTTCATATGCTAATCTCCATTTATAAATTGGTTTAAATATAGTTAATGTTCAATGCTTATATAAGCCACAGTTTTGATTCTCTAAAAAAACAGAAAAGGCATTTATGGCTAGGAAAAAGAAACTTACAGCACTCAACAGGTATTGAAGCAACTTGGAGGGACAGGACTTTTCCACTGGGCTGTGGGATGTGCACACGAAACACAAGCCGCACTCTTGTATTTTTCCTTCCAATATCTGTCTCCCCTTTGCGAAGTTCTATATCAGAATTACGGAGTTTCAAAATGCCTGCACAATCAATACTGTGGAGGACCACAGAGAAGACAGCAACGTTACAAAACATTTGTTACTCATTATAAACAAAACATTTTATGAAGAAAGCTTTCCTGTTTGGAATCCCGTCAGGTACAAAGGAAACAGAAAAGCCACAGTGATATATTCTTCTTTTGTTCACCCTGTACATTGTGAAGCTGGCTTGTGGCCTAAGCTGAAGTGATTTATTTGTTCCCTTTCAAATTATGCAATTAACAACCAGTCAAAGGGACTCCTAGAGATGTGTCACACCAGAAAAAAGGATACTGGAAAGAAATCACAAAAACTACTGCTTTGAATATTTTTCCAATGGAAAATGTGGAAACTTTGAGGAAAAGTTTTTTAAAAGTTCTTTTGGAATTAGTAAAATGGTTTTTAACAAAAGGTTTAAATCAGTCAAAATGCAAAGTATGAAGACATTTATATAAGACTATAGCATTACATAACAATAATCATTGTATATACTGTAGCCAAATACAGCATATTTTCAAGGACACTGATTGTTTAAATGCAACTAATTTTATTCACAGAATATACTACACTGCATGACAACAAAACTAGAGGTGTAGAAGTAAAAAGTTACCTGTTTAATTCTGAAGTGAGCAGTGACTCATGAAAGCCCATACACTACCACAAATGTTGTTAGACTTTAAGTTGCAACTGGACTCTACTCTTTTCTGCTACTACAGACAAACAAGGCTACCCATTTTGATCTATTGGCAATATTGTTGTTGTGTCAGAAAGTCATTCCAAAAATATTGGAATAATACTCCTGATGCTTTAAAAAAAGACCAGCAGTCCCATCCCTGCTTCCCTGTACAAAATTAAAACAGATATTGCCGATACAACACCCTAAATATCGGGCATCTTATCAGTTCGGCACTATTGACTAATTCAGTGATATAAGGTTTAACTTGGTTATCAAGATATGCAGTTAGTCCTATTGTGATTGTAAGCAATTGTTTCTATCCAAACACTACACCTCCTTTTGTTTGATACAAAATTTGCTTTTTCTCTTCATCTCAATTTTTGCTACCTGAGAGTTAGAAAAATGAAAAATACATGTGCAAAGGTAGCACAGGATGCAGCAGTTGTCTCTCAAGTGATGGGTATCTTCACAGGTTTTGCTTGTAGAAAACAAGCTTGACGTGGTCAAAAATGAGATGGCAAGACTGAACATCGATATTTTAGGAATCAGTGAACTAAAGTGGTCAGGAATGGGCGAATTTAATTCAGAAGACCATTACATCTACTACTGTGGCTAGGAATCTTGTAGAAAAAATGGTGTGGCCTTTATAGTCAACAAGAGAGTTCCAAAGTCGGTACTGGGATACAATCTCAAAAATGACAGAATGATTTCAGTCCGATTCCAAGGCAAACCATTCAACATCACAGTAATCCAAGTCTATGCCCCAACCACTGATGCAGAAGAGGCTGAAGTGGACCGGTTCTATAAAGACCTACAACACCTCATAGAACTAACAC